TTTCTTTATATACATTTATTTTTTTAGTATGATATTGAATGTAATGCTAATAGCCTCAGATATCGATGCAGAAATTATAAATAATTTCAAGATCACTWGAAAAAAAAWAAATATTTTGTGTTCTTATTACTAAAATATTAGATATAAAAATATCTACCAGCTCAAACTTTTTTGTAGTATAATAAAATGTAATAATTGTAATTATAAACTATTACAGTATTTAATATTAATCATAATAATAAAATGAAAAAATACTTATATTTTATTACTACCTATGCCATTGTATTCCTAACCATTATATAGTTAATAGTACTAAATAGAAAAAATAGTTTATGTGAATAATGACTACCTAAAAAAATGTAAATGTATAACATTTAAAATTGCTTAAATTTGATGCCAAAATTAAATTTTGTACCTCATAATAAAGATAGACTTGAAAAAAATAGGTAAATTAAAAACTCACTTAATCATTTGACAGGTGTGAGTAGACAGTGCAGCGTGAAACTCGGTATMTTTTTGTCACATGATTCTTATATTATAATATCTGAAAAATAAAAAATTTAAATTATTAAACTACTATTATGAGTATCTACTTTAATATATATTATATATAATAATTGAATTCCAGTAATTTTAAATCCATCAGTTTATTTTTTAACAGTTTGTAACAGATTATATTTATACATTTTTTTGTATTAGTAAAAATTATATGATGTAGTGTTATTAAAATTAATACAAGCTTTTTTAGCAGAATTAAAAAAAATTTATCGTGCAATAGTAAAACAAGATAAATACGTTTTGTATTGTATATGTAACGATATTGAAAACTTTATGTATAATATAATATGTAAGTTTGTATTCAAATCCCTGGAAGATGTGTTATATAATATCACGATCGAATGAAAATTGAGACAAAAATCCATACAATGTTTACTGTATTTATGTTGTGATACATTTATTTTAAAAACCTACTAAATACTACCAGATACAACCAAAAATACCAATAATGCCGATAGATCCTTTATGTAGTTCTTAATTGTTGGTAAATTGAAGTCGGTGTGCAGCGCATCGTTTCGAACAAACCATGGGGCGTTTGAAATCACACGGAGGACTTTGAATTGAAGTACTTGGATTTTATTTATACGGGTTGAAGCACATTGACCCCAGACAGAGACAGCGTATAGTAATAGAGGACGAATGATTTGTTTGTATAGAAGTAATGAACATTTCCAGCTCGATAATGTTTGCTGATTTATTAATGGGAATACAATTTTTAATCGTTGGTATATCATTGTTGTATTTTGGAGGATATATGTCGGTTCCAGGTAAGTTTTTTGTCCATAATAACTCCAAAATATTTTATGTTATGAGACTATGGTGTATTTTGTCCGTTGATTTTTTAAGGAATTAAAATTAGTGGGTCTACGAAGTGTGAAAATAACTGCTGTGCTTTTAGTCGGATTGAGAATGATTTTCCATTTTTGTATTTCTTCAAGATGATTTTGGATGTTTTCTGTTACATTTTCGATTTTAACGGGACTAGAATAAATGACACTATCATCCGCAAATAGGGCTATTTCCGTGTTCRTCGATGTAGGAAAATCTGATATGTGAAGGTTTAAAAGTATTGGAGATATTTTTGAGCCTTGTGGTACTCATGCATTAATTTGTTTGACGTCCGAGTTAGTGCCATTTATTTGAACGGTGAAACTACGAGAGTAGAGAAAATATTTGATGATGTTGAAGATAACAGTGGGTGTGTTAAGGCATTTTAATTTATAAAGCAGTCCGTCATCATGCCAGACCTTATCAAACGCTTTAGCTATGTCAAGGAAGGAAATACATTGGCAATCGATTAAATTTGACCTTAAGGTAATTTATAAAAAGAAATAATCTGATTTATTTTTGTAATAATATACTTGCTCAATTTTACCCGCCTCRACAGAATATCAGGTAACATATTTTATTCAGAAATAGTCTGATTTGTTAATTACTAAGTTCACTTTCCATATTCATGACTCTTATGTACTTGAAAGTACGTAAATATATTTCACGGATGGTCATAATAATCATCGTTCAGATATGCTGATCATACTATATTAAAATAGTGCTGAGAACAGAAAACCGCTGAAATTTGAATTAGTATTAAAACGTTTGGATGCATAAATTGTTGAGTTTAAAATTGTATAAAATTATAAAGCGTATAGYTTTATCTATACATCTGGAATCTCAGTACCATTACTTTCCRCCCAAACAGTCGTTTTATTATTATTATTATAAATCGAGGCTTTCATTCCTATAATTCTACAATAGGTAGTACATGATGATAAGTGGTCGTTATTTTGTTGAGTATACGTGTAATATTTGTGAACAGTTTCAACTTTTAGATTGATGGACTTCGATTTGTCAGCTCCGATAACCATGTTTGACAAATTAAATGACAAACKATATGGCATCTTTGGCCACCTACTTGGAGAAATTAATCTTGTTAATTAATCTTCATTAACCACACGAGAACATTATGTAGCTGAGCATAATTATTATTTAGGTACAAGGCTTCTTTGAGTTACAATAAATTAAGAAAGACCCATTCAAAATTTTGAATGTTAAATAAAAAAGCATAGAAATCTCACATAAAAATAAAACAT